ATATATATATATATATATATATATATATATATATATATCCTATTACTACTAACTACATTTATCTTAGTGATAAGTAACCATGGTGTGGCATTCCCTCGCTCGATAAATCCACCGATACTTCCGCTGCGGAACCCTCGGCGTCGTCCTCCTCCTCGGCTTCCATCGGCCGATCCCTTCCACTACCAAACATGACCACCATCCCCCGTTGCAACGACCACTTCTCCGTGTCCGGTCACTGCCCTTTTGTGTCCAGCTTCTCCAAGCACAGGTGGAAGCCATTCGGGGTCACATCAGTACGCAACCGCAACCAGCTGCCTCCCAACCCACATAAAGAAAGGTGAATTATTGCTCTACTTTTTCCGTCAAGTGGATGCCAAGCAATTGCTTTTCTCTTTGGAAATGCAATATTCGCGGCTAATTTCTCAAAATGATTCAGTCTTTGGATTCTTTTTCTTGTCCAACTTCATGGAAGGAATCCATGATTCCGGGTATGTAGTGAAAGAGATGATGAACTTAGTCAGTTCTGACCTCTAACTGCTACTCGAGTGTTGAGGGGAATCGTTCCAAGGGTCGCTTTCTGTGTAATACGACAAGTTTTGGTATCTCCAGATGGTTTTGTCGTTGATTTCGGTAGTATTCCATCAACACTGATGCTCACTGCCACGCTGTAGGGAATAAGGAATCGGTGGAATGCATATACTCTCTGCTACTTAAAGAGTAGGACATGGGAACAAGTCACTCTCGTGTTCTTTCTCGCCTCACTATTTCTCCGCCGAGCTTTGGCACTTAGACTACAAATTAATAGGGTCATCTCAAACATCCAAAGAAGTGGAAGAAGGAACCGAAGGACTCCATCTTTGGACCACCAAATGCCCAGTTAGTACTGAAGCCTTCAAAAATCAGGAGTTGATTCATTGTTGATTTCCTACTTCTGATGTTCTGTAATCTATTTCAATCTAACTAGAAGGGTCTTCAAATACTTATTGATGCCATGTAAGATTCATCTATTAGCAGTGTTGCCGTTTCTGGAATGCTTTTGGAGTTTATACTGGAATTGTATGTTGATGCAATTGGCCCCTAAATAGTATGATCAACTATACCGAGACTATTTTTTGATCCTTTTGAGTTGATTTCTTCCTTTTGTTGTTTCTGTCTTATTTAATTTCTCGACAGTGCAAATCTAGGACTGTTAAAATTAAGTTCTGAATCTTAGTTTAAAAAAAATGCAAACTTATAAAAACAGAGTAATAGAACTAGCAACTTTCCTTGGTTATGATCATATTAATAGTGATTATCAATAACTTTGAGGCAGCCGGATTATCAGTTTGGTTGGAGGATTCTGGACAGCTACCCCTTTTATGCCTGGTATACAGGCAGATTCCAGTCTGTCTTACACCGTTATAGAGATGCCTATTTGTGAAGATGGCTACATGTTTAATAAGAAGATGACAGTTACATTTGAGAACAGTGCACTGTGGCTCTGGGAAGTACCTGTACTTGTAATTCTTCATTTTCTCATGGAGATCTGGGCCTTACTTTGCAGTTTACATGTATTTCTCCTACTTTATGTTTTGTCAAATCTTCATGAAAGAAGGTAGAAGGTGAACAAACCGGGCAATTAAGTTGGAATTGTTGGTAGCTACTATTGGACTGCCATGGTCAGTTATTTATGGTTGAATCCTGATAGTCTACCCCCTTAACCCATATCTGCATTAGAGTGTTAATGATTTGATTTTCTGGTTGTGGGTTTCTTGAATATTATTAGCACCACTGTGCTTTTGTATATTGTAAATGAAGTAGTCAGGGTTTTCTTTCTGTTTGTTATTTTTTATTGGTAGACATCTTTTGGATTTGGAGGAATCAAGAAGAATGATTTTGGAACCAAACACTATACATTGATGACCTTTCTTCTATTTTTATTGATTTGAGAAAGATCATTGAATTCTACGAGTTTCTTTTTGATCTTTTTTCAATTGCCTGATACGTTACATTGCAGAATAATCAGGTGATATTCTTGAAAGATTTTGCTAAGATGGTACCAAAAGGAGGGATGAAAATATCTAATTCAACTGATGCAAGCTCCCATGAACAAGAGGAGAACAATGATTTTCAGAGCAAAAGTAAACAGCAAGACCTGAAGAAGAGGAATAATAGCATGCCTTATCACAAGCTTTTTTCCTTGGCTGACACAGCAGATCTTGCTTTAATGGTTGTGGGCACAATTGCAGCTATTTCTGATGGGGTCTCATTACCTTTGACAACAGTTCTTTTTGGAGATATGATCAACACTTTTGGGAAAACTAGAGACATAAACTATATTGTTCATGAGGTTTCTAAGGTGGGTAACCTATTTGACAACTTTCCTTAATCTTACAGTTATCACATTCATCCAAGAAAAGAATTTACACTCATCATTTTAACTACAGCTATTAGCTCTTTTACCCTTTGCTCATTGAAGTTGATCACAGAATTCCTACATGTGTTTTCTTCTTTCTGGCTTATCATGGCATCAAAGCATTCTCAGTGCTTAGTGTTTTGCAAATTGCATTTTAATACTGCATTTTTCTTGTGTCTCCAGGTCGCTCTGAAGTTTGTATATTTAGGCATCGCAAATGCCATAGCTTCATTCCTTCGTAAGAAGATATACATATTAATATAGTGAATTGTTTAGTTATTTGCATGGCTAAGATGCTTGAACTTATAGTGAAATTGTCATTTATTGTTAGAGGTGGCTTGCTGGACGATTACTGGGGAAAGACAAGCTGCACAGATTAGAAACCTGTACTTGAAAGCCATACTTAGACAAGATATTGCATTCTTCGACAAGGAAGCTAACACAGGAGAGGTTATTGCAAAGATATCAGGTGACACTTTTCTAATTCAGGATGCCATGGGTGAAAAGGTACCAGAAACATGCCTTATCCTATGTCTATCTATCATACATGTCATGCCAACAATTTTTTATGTTTCTTAATTGATTAAAAACTGTTTGTGCACATACTTCTGTCTACTTTAGTCAATTTTCTGTTTGGTCAAATAGATGCAATTCCATACTTGTTCATTGTAGTCTCAGTTACCTCTTAAAATTTACACACTTAATTTTGCTTATGTCATATCTTTTCCCTCTAGCTGTTCCGATGCCTCTGCATCTAAAATTTCGGGACATAAGAATATGCTATGTTGCTTCAGTTAAGTTTCAATAAATTTCAAAGATGAAAGTCTTCTACTCATTCTTATAGACTTTGATATATCAATTCCCAGGCTGGAAAATTCATTCAATTGGTATCATCATTCGTAGGAGGGTTTATAGTAGCATTTGTCCAGGGATGGCAACTTACACTTGTTATGTTGTCCACCATTCCTCCTATGGTGCTTGCTGCTGCAGTCATGGCCACTGTGTTGACCAAGATGGCAGCCCGTGGGCAGACAGCTTATTCAGAAGCAGCAGCCACTGTTGAACAAACAATTGGCTCAATTCGGACAGTATGGACATATTTAGTTCTTGTGCATGCAAAAGTTGAAATTAACTTCTTGTTTTCCTTTCCTAAATAAAACAGTCTAATTCATTCTTAGGTTGTATCTTTTACCGGAGAGGAACATGCTATAAAGAAATACAACAAAAGTCTTAAGAGCGCTTACAAGGCCAGTGTTCTGGAAGGCTTGTCTGCAGGAGTAGGCTTGGGTGCAACTTTTGGTATTGTGTTCTTTGGCTATGGTTTAGGAATATGGTTTGGATCTAAAATGATATTGAAGAAAAACTACACTGGTGGAGATGTCATCAATGTGATTTTTGCAGTCATTACAGGCTCCATGTGAGTTCCTATTTCCCATATCAATCTTCATATCTTAATGTAGGATATTTTTAGAGTTGACCTGCTATTTGTTGTTCAAATTCCTTGGTAAGGACCTGGTCTTGTAGGTATTTATTTTAAATGTTTCACTTTTGTACAGAATCTTACTGCCGTATCAGGAGCATGTTCAAAATACTTTTTTCACACCTTTAGATACTTTTGGAGGGTTTTGGGTAATTGTTGAATTGAACATAGTTTGGCAATTCGTGTCCAATCTTATTGTTATCTGCAAACCGAGAGAAGAAGAAACCATAGATTGTTGACAAAGAGGATCTAGTTGTATAAATGCTTTTCAAGTTGTGATATCCTGTTGCTAGTAAGATGCTTCAGAGGTTAGCTCACAGTTCATGCTAATAATTGGAGTTCTGATGATCCTGTTGTGCTTGGGTGTATAGGATTAAACATTATGACTTTTTTAGATGATGTCATCTCCTATGCAATGCTCCCAGTTTATAGGTATGGATGATTACATCTAGCGTCTGTGTGCTTTCCTGATATGTAGCCTATGCTGTTCTTGTGGTAGGTAATGTGGACTAAAGTAAATTCTCCAGCTTATTATACATGATCTTCTTCTATTGTTAGTGCCTTCGTGTAGCATACCACAGATTGTTGGCCATGTTTAGGTTGTTATTGCACTCGCTATCTTCTAACATTATAGTAAGAATATGTAAAATTGTTGAATATTGACCATTACAATACCAGTGTATCTGACTCCTGAGAATTCATTAACATCAGTTGAACCGAAGACACCCTGCGTTGACAGGACCAAAATATCCATGATGGCATCATGACCCATAGTACATGAACCCAAGTAGAAATCTATATGTCCCAGACATATGACACTTAAGACTGTCCACAGAAAATGTATTAAGTCAATTTAATGATGGGTTTAACTCGTGATATTTAAATTACTCTTAGCACTTTGAATTACTCTTAGATTCTATTGCTAACCCATCATGGACATCATTTTGTCTTTTGTTACTATTATGAACATTGGTGTTCATATAAACTCTTGTTGCAAACTTGGGTGCAAAAAGTTAAGAGATGCGAAATACATGGATATGCTAGCTATCTTTTATAGATCAATAACATGAGAAATATTATTGAAATACAAGGTATATTTAAAATTTGCAGATTGCATGCTAGGACCATCAGCATCCTCCTTAACAAAAATGATTATTATTCTTATGGATAGATGGCTATGGGAAAACATGATAATCAATCACCACAATTGTTATTTAGTTTGCTAAAACATATGAATTCTTTGAGAATCTTGTGTGTTGACCAGTTCATGATGTACACCCAAACTGTGTCCAGACTAGTTATTGTTCACACATTTTCTTTGGCTTATCTTGTATTACCATCCATTTATATGTAATTAAGCATATCTTATTAAGAGCACACTTATATATACAATGTATATCTGCACTGACATATCCTAGTCATATGATAATGATTGTCGAGAAGGAAACATTCTACTAATCAATTGGCAAGCATCTTTCAGGTCCCTAGGCCAGGCCTCCCCATGTACAAGTGCTTTTGCAGCAGGACAAGTGGCAGCTTTCAAGATGTTTGAGACAATCAACAGGAAGCCTGAGATAGATGCTTATGATACCACTGGAACAACTTTGGATGACATTCGTGGAGATATTGAATTAAAGGATGTGTGCTTTAGCTATCCAGCTAGACCTCATGAGCAAATACTCAAAGGGTTATCTTTGTTCGTTCAAGGTGGAACATCTGTTGCCTTGGTTGGAGAAAGTGGAAGTGGAAAGTCAACTATCATCAGTCTATTAGAGAGATTTTACGATCCACAAGCTGGTGAGATTCTTATAGATGGAATAAATCTAAAGGAATTCAAGCTGAGATGGATCAGAGGGAAAATTGGACTTGTTAGCCAGGAACCAGTCCTCTTGGCATCTACGATAAGGGAAAACATTGCTTATGGAAAGGATGATGCTACCATTGATGAAATTAAAGCTGCTGCTGATCTAGCCAGTGCTTCCAAATTTATTGATAAATTGCCTCAGGTATATGTTCTTTTGATCTTCAGGATTTCTTAATTATTTAACATTCATGCATAGTATTCATTGCAACCGAACTCAATCCTCAAATTTTAACGTCTTCATATAGGGTAAAAGAATAGTAGATGTGATGCTCTACTGCAGTGCTGGGTGTTCAAATTTCTATTCATGTCATAATTTTGAATTTGAATTCAATGATATGCAAAATAACAGCAATGATTTTATAAAAGGGTCTTGACACCTTGGTTGGAGAGCATGGAATTCAGCTCTCTGGGGGTCAGAAACAAAGAGTTGCAATAGCTAGAGCTGTTCTCAAGGACCCAAGAATCCTACTGCTAGATGAAGCCACCAGCGCTCTTGATGCAGAGTCTGAAAGTATTTTGCAGGAGGCACTTGACCACGCCATGAAAAACAGAACCACTGTTATTGTTGCTCATCGGTTGACAACAGTGAGGAATGCAAATATGATTACTGTAGTTCATCAAGGCTCAATAGCTGAAAAAGGTGCATCTTGCATACAGATTATGCTTCAGTCCTCAAGTTCTTAAATTGTTACTTTGAACTTTTGCCTTTTGTATAATATCAATTTAGTTTTTTTTATTTTTGAGAGAATGTTCTAGTTTTTACAAGAAATTCTCTGATAACATTGTCTTTTATATAATGTCTATTTAGTTTTTATATTTTTGACAGAATGTTCTAGTTTTACAAGAAATTCTCTGATCACATTATGTGTCTTTTAAGTGTAATTGATATCTAATGTTCCTTTTCCTGGATCAAATAGGATCCCATGATGAGCTCATTAAGATTCCAAATGGAGCTTATAACCAACTTGTAAGGTTACAGGAAGTGAAACAAGATTCTGATCAACATACTCCAGTTGACCAGGACAACATTTATGCAACTATTGGCCAACAGTTGATTCAAACATCTTCCCAGCTATCAACCAATAGATGGTCATCTATTGGAAGTGACAGTTTTCACCCATTATCAGAATCTTTTAGGGTGCCTGTTGGACTATTAGAAGCTCCCATGGAGACTTCGCAGTGTGAAGGGTCATTAGAGAAAATTCAAGTACCTGTTAGCCGCCTTGCATCTCTAAATATACCGGAGATTCCTCTGTTACTATTAGGTACAATTGCTGCTATAATCAGTGGAATATTGCTGCCTATTTTTGGAGCTCTCTTGTCAAGTATAATACGTACCTTGTATGAGCCACCAACAAAGCTTCGTAAGGATTCAAAATTTTGGACATTGATGTTGACTTTCCTTGGTTTGGCAACGTTGCTGTCGATTCCAGCAAGAGCTTATTTGTTTGCTATTGCTGGGTCCAAGTTAATAGAAAGAATCAGAGCAATGTCATTTGACAAAATTGTTCATATGGAGGTTGGGTGGTTTGACAAACTTGAAAACTCAAGTGGAGCAATTGGAGCAAGGCTTTCAGCAGATGCAGCAACAGTGAGGACTCTTGTTGGTGATACATTGGCACTTGCTGTTCAGAATGCTGCAACATTAGTTGCAGGTTTGGCAATTGCCTTTTCTGCATGTTGGCAGCTGGCTCTAATAATACTGGCATTGGCACCTTTGGTAGGTCTAAATGGATGGATTCAATTAAAATTCATGAAGGGATTGAATGCAGATGCAAAGGTGCGTTCTGCAATCTAGTGAGATCAATTTCAAGTGTTTTTCTGTGATTTATATAAAACAATTGGATGGTTCTTAGACCCCCCATAGGTGTATTGGTGCCATTTTATGATATTTTTGTTTTTTTATTCGAAAGCAAGATGCAAATTCTCATAAAAAATAAGATAACAATAAGAAGATTTAGAATATGCTTATCTCAGGCACATATTGACTTATAACTAATATGTTCTGCACCACCTAATTGTTCTTCTAAGGAAACTGTGATTCACCATAAATAACTTTCCTGCAGATGATGTTTGAGGAGGCAAGTCAGGTTGCCAGTGATGCAATTAGAAATATAAGAACGGTTTCCTCTTTCACTGCTGAAGAGAAGGTGATAGAACTTTATAGGAGGAAATATAAAGGTCCTATGAATTCTATCATAAAGCAAGGATTGATTGGTGGACTTGGTTTTGGTCTCTCCAACATCTTGCTGTTTTGTGTATATGCAACTGGCTTCTATGCTGGAGCTAGGCTCGTAAAGGATGGCGAGACTACATTCGCAAATGTTTTTCGTGTACGTGAGTATTTTTCTTTGTTTTCTAAACTAGTTGCTCCTGACAACCCTAATTAATGTGGGTTTTGCTCTAGATATCTAAATGCTGTTCTGGAATCTTATTCCTGAAGGATGTGATCCTCCAATTTAATTTCTGTTATAAACTGAAGCCAGTTCTGGTTATGGTTCTGCTAATGACTGTAAAAACTGCCAATTCTACCTTAAGTTAGCAGGTGGTTGTTTATTACATCTGATCAGTGTGATATAATTAATTATTTAAGATTCTGGTTTGTTATGTACCATTTCAAAATGGGGACTTTTGTTTATGTCAAACTGAATTGGAGACATGTAAGAGTTCAACCTTGATTCAAGTAAATTAATGCAAAACTAAAATAATATTTGATTTTGCTGAGGATGAGTATTTCCATTTTTTTTAAAGTTTGACAGAAACCATCATGCAGCAACTCTCTGATGAAGAAAAGGTTTTCTTTCTTTGTTCAACATGTCAAGTAGATACAAGATGATGAATGCTAGTTAATATATACTTTCATGTAATACCCTTATAATCAAGTTACAATTGGACATACAGATGCAGCTCCTTTCCTCTCCTAATAAAGTACTATGTTTTATATGCCTTGTAGGTCTTCTTTGCTCTCAACTTTGCGGCAGTAGGAATTACCCAGTATAGCTCCCTAGCACCTGATTCTGCAAAAGCAAAATCTGCTACAGCTTCAGTATTTGCAATACTTGATCGCAAGTCCAAGATTGACTCCAGTGATGATTCTGGCACAACATTAGATTTAGTGGAGGGAAATATTGTATTTGATCATGTCAGCTTCAGATACCCTACAAGGCCTGATGTCCGGATCTTTCATGACTTATGCTTTGCTGTTCAGTCAGGAAAGGTAACCTAATCATCTCCTTTCTAAATTCTTGTTTTTATCGATAAAATTATGCAAATTAGTGTCTATCAGTGTAGGTTTTATTAGATGCAGATCCATTCACAAGTAGCTCATTCATTATGCTCTGAATAGGAGTACATGACTAACACTTCTGCAATGGAACATGTATGTGCATCATATGTTAAATAACTGCTGTTTATGCTGTCTTTTACTCTAGAATTTCAAGCAACGACTGTGGTCCTTGTTTACATAATGAATTCCAGAGCAAGTAATGAAGCCTAAATTCATGTCTTCCTCATTATACTCTATGGATAAAGATTTTGTGGTTATAATATTTAAGATTTTTAAACCTCAGGAACTATTTGGTGAAAAGTCTACAGATAAAATTTTCAGCCAGAAATTTTAAACCTTAACTTTATATGGATAAAATTTTATACTTTGTCTTCCTCGTGAACTATTTAGGCAGTCGAGATATCATTAATTTCCTGTTTCTTGTTGAATATTTTCATATATAAATGTTCTTAGTTAACTTTATCCATCCAATTGTTCCACAGAGGCTGTCAGACAAGTAATTCAAAATGCCTAAGTATGAGATGGTACATTGCATTCTGAAAAATAAGCCTGAATAAATTCTTAGTTTTCTTCATTTTTTTATGAGAGAGCTTAACAACTTTTGAGGAATTAAATGGTTCTTTGATATTTTCACGTATGCATGCGTGATTTGGATGTATGCCTTGTATCCTGATTGTCATTGTCCTGAACTAGTTGATGATCGAATTACCTACTGCAACCTTTTCTCTAGACTGTTGCTATTGTTGGCGAAAGTGGAAGTGGGAAATCCACCTTGCTCTCACTGCTCCAGAGATTTTATGACCTTGACTCAGGTCATATATTGCTAGATGGAGTAGAGATACAAAAACTGAAGCTCAGGTGGCTGAGACAACAAATGGGTCTGGTTAGTCAAGAGCCTGTATTGTTCAATGATACTGTTCGGGCCAACATTGCATATGGAAAAGGAGGAGACGCCACCGAGTCAGAGATATTAGCTGCTGCTGAGTCCGCGAATGCGCACCAGTTCATTAGTGGATTGCAGCAGGTTAGAGCACATGATATCCATTGCCTAAACAAGCATGAGCTGTCAAAAGATAAAAATCACAAACTCTTGAATTTGTGCAGGGCTACGACACTTTAGTTGGGGAACGTGGTGCCCAATTATCAGGTGGGCAGAAGCAACGATTGGCGATAGCACGTGCCATTATAAAGGACCCGAAGATCCTGCTGTTCGATGAGGCTACCAGTGCACTCGACACGGAGTCTGAGCGTGCAGTTCAAGAGGCACTTGAAAGGGTGATGATCAACCGCACCACAATCGTAGTTGCACATAGATTGTCAACCATTAAAGGTGCCGATATGATTGCAGTACTCCAAGATGGCACGATCGTGGAGAAGGGCAAACATGAAGATCTGATCAACATTAAGGATGGGTTTTATGCAACCCTAGTAGCATTTCAGTCAGCGTAGTGTGCCCATAACACAATATTATTGTCCTCTATAGGATGAAATGTTGCATCCTGGCTTATATCGATGTTTCCTGTTATATATCTGTAGCATGAACCAATTACTATGATTTGTTAATGCGATCATTATCGTTTACTTCATCATGTAAAAACATGAGTAACTAATTTGATTGATTATGATTTGACCATCAGGCTGGCACCATGAGATCACAGATTTACTTCTTTGATGATTTTGATTCTCAAATGAGAACACCATTTCGCCATGGATTGATTGTGTGATCTCACTGTAGATTAAATCCACTTATCATTTTAGTGAGTGACCCATATATCATGTGATGATAGACCAATGTTTCTTCTAGCAGTAGGCAGGGTTTCGCTAGTTACAAACTTTTTTGGTTCATTCAATAAGGATTCTGTGAAGTCTAAGATTTATGAAGAATGTTTAGCTACCTTTGAACCCTGAAATGAATGTTTTTAAGCGTAGTTTTTGGAAATGTTTAATATACTAATAAGACTTTTTGCCCACAGAGATTTCTATTATAAATGTGAAAAGTTACAGCTACTTTTCTTTTAAGATACAAAAGGATAAGTTTTTTTTTCTAGTTAATGTCAAAAGTTAACAGTAATAGTTTACTCCAAATAGAAAAAATGTTGTCCATATGAAGAACAAAAATAAAAGAAATGTTTATAGATTACGATTAATATCATTGACGTATCTTCTACATGATTCTTAGTTCAAATAATCAAAGTAATTCTTAGTGTGGAAAATAATAAAAACATTTTCCCCAAAACCTAAAACTAATATATATGAACATCAAAGTAGCGAAATCCTGAAATGTATCCCAATACATTAGTCGCGGATTTGTTCTATTTTTCATGAGGCTCAAAAATGAGGTTAGAATGCAAAACACATAACATAATCACAATACTACTAATATGCAAACTGAGAGTGGAATTTTTGGTTGATGTGCATTGCTTGCCAATGCCCAGAAAAGGTGCAGATTATCCAAATCATATCCTACTCAATATTGGTTACTCTACTCAACCTTCTCAAGCAGCAATCAAGATACATGCATCTGGACTCAGCATGCCCCACAACCAAAAGAAAAGATCTTGAGAACCTTTTAATTGCCATTAACCCTAATTTCAAACCTTCTGACAAATTTACAACATAATCTTCCACACAGTAACTTGCAGAAGCAATACCTTTACGGTCAACATCTTGCATATCTAGTTGCAACCTCTGCAAATAAGCGAGAGGTAGCAATTCAAAAATTCTGATGTCAACAAAATTTCTAATCTAGAATCTTATGACCGAAGAAGTTTCTACTCCTGAACAAAAAAAAAAAATTCCCGGTAACCATTGGTACACCATTTAGAATAGGGAATTCATATGATATCTGTTGCCTTATCACCTAGAAAGATAAAGCCACATGAAAAATGAAGGACATAATATAAAGGACTTTTGCATCTAAAGATATTACAACAGAGTTGCCTGACAAAGAGGCAGCTGCTAAAGCTAATATAGGCACCTCAATCTCAAATTCACTAGTATTACTACATGCTCTCTGGTATCTATGACTGACCATTATCCATAAGCTCATCAAGTCAGTGGAGGCATCACTCACCTTATAAACATGAAAAGAGTCGAACACCTTCCTTACAATAGTTCAACATTCCATGATGGAACACTAGTCTCATTTGTGCTTCTCTTCATCTGATGCTAACAATAGTCATGTGTGATCTTCTCTTGAACTTCAAGAGCAATACATTTGTGGCTTTATAATATCATTAGCATGGTAAAATAACTAGACACCATAATTTCACCCGAAAATTCTACTCTTGTGCTTGGATTTCAATCAATCACACCAAAAACGTAGCTCATATTAATAATCATCCAGAGTGCAGTGTATGGAAAACACATTCACCGGAAGCTTTTCTTCGTCACAGTTCCCGCTTCATATCTGTAGCATTTACAGACTCCATTTCATGAACCTAGGAAAAAAAAACTAGTTTATGCCTGTGTTGCCTCTTCTTACCCGAGAGCTTCGTCTTTTGGGCTGTTTTGTTCCATGCTGTTTTCCTGATATCCTCTGCCTTCAAAAACGGAAATAAAACAACATCAATCCTCGAATCAATCACATTTAACTGGACATAAACTACCAAATCATGCACCAAGCAGCTTACTTAAGAATGTTAAGTTGGAAAGTCAAATCATTGATCTCCAAACCAGAGAGCTTCAGTGAAGACAAGGTTCCAGGTACTTCCTCCGACACCACCTTCGACAATTTATCCGCGGAGACCGCTAGCTTCTTAAAAGCCTGAACTTGGACCAATCAGAAATGCAAAATCTCGTAGCCGATGAATAGAAAGATTAAAGGCGGCCAAATGAGAACAACTATTCTCACGTTCAAGGCAGGGAGAGAAATCATTGCCAAAGAGAAGAACGAACCAACGACCTGCGATAAAAACATAAAAGTAAGAAACAAAAAACAGAAAGCAGTTCCCACAAAGGCGGCGCCTTTTCGCTAGACGGTCTCAAATCTGATAGCTACATATGCATCGAATCGATCAAAGGGAAGAAAGATTGGAATTCAGTGAGTGCCTCGAAGAGAAAGACGGAAGTTACCATGGATACGACGAAGAGGATAGAAAAGAGCCCTAATTCGGGCTCGCGGCTAAGCCCTCGAATTATAGGAAGGGATGGAGAACCAGACTGCGCAACGAGCACGGGACTTGAACCGGACGAAACGAGAGCGGGACCACCATCTTGGGAGTCCAGAGAAAGCCTAATCGCGAGCGGCGGCTGACTCCGGCGTGGCCGAGCGGCCGGTCTCGGTGGCGGTCGCACTGTCGTTGGAGAGGAAAGGAGCATCGGAGTCTGTGGCCGCGGCGAAATGGTTGAGGGCAGAAACGGGTGGGATTCGGCTCGCTATAAATTGATCGATAGAAATTGAACCGGCCGGCCCGATTCGAATCGGTGGAGAGATCAAATTCTTTGTCTCATTCTACTTGTATCATGTACCCGCATTCCAACTTAAGTCCGATACTCTCCTCGTGTAAATCCTGTGCTGATGTGTGATGATTACCAAATCAACGATCAAAATGTTTGATAATATCTTGATATAATGCCTCCCGAGGCAGCACATCGTAGTCTCCGATATATTTAAGATCGATCCTCTAAGATGGAAACCGTGACTGCCTACTCTCGCCCACTCAGCTCCATCTCCACACCACTAATCCTTGCGTCGGGTGGCGCCGGCAAGATGCAAATCTTTGTGAAGACCCTCACGGGCAAGACGATCACCCTCGAGGTGGAGTCGTCGGACACGATCGACAACGTGAAGGCTAAGATCCAGGAGGAGGAGGACATCCAGCCGGACCAGCCGCGTATCATCTTCGCGGGGAGATCGAGGACGGCCGCACGCTCGCCGACTACAACATCCAGAAGGAGTCCACCCTCCACCTTGTCCTCCGCCTCCGCGGCGGTGCTAAGAAGCGCAAGAAGAAGACCTACACCAAGCCGAATAAGATCAAACACAAGAAGAAGAAGGTCAAATTCGCGGTGCTCCAGTTCTATAAGGTGGACGATGCCACCGGAAAGGTCACCCGCCTCCGCAAGGAGTGCCCCGACGCTGAGTGTGGAGCCGGCACCTTCATGGCCAACCACTTTGACCGCCACTACTGCGGCAAGTGCGGCCTCACCTACGTCTACCAGAAGGCGCAAGGTGAGCCAACTATTGATCGCTTTCTTGATTTAGAGTCAATAACTAGCGAGCTGCAAAGATTGTGATCTCCTAGTTTGGATTTAGTTTTATGTGGTCAATTAATGTGTAGAGGACAAATGACCTGGTTTTAGGTTTTAATTACGTTTGATTTTTAGGAGAATGATGGATTATGATACATTTGCTAGTCTGAATTGTTTGCTTCGAAAACTTTTCTGTGGTCGCTTGTTCTCCAAAGGCATTTTGTCGAATGGTTACCGAGCAATGCTTCTGCAGAGACACATTTCGTAATCGGCTATATGTATTATATTTCTCATCACTAACCTCAGGGTAGAGCAAAATTCTAGTCAGATCATGAGCCTTTCAATCCAATTCTATTGTTTCTTGTATATTTTCCTCCTAATTCTTATCAGCTGAAAATTTCTAACCTTCTATACTCATGTTAAACATTTTGTTCTATCATTGTATTATTAGTTGGGGTAATACTTAGTTGTTTGTAGAAAAAAATGTTTCTTTTCCTAATGGCTATACGCTAAATATTCATAATAATAGAATATCTCGATCCATAAAGCATAACTAACTTCATATTATTTAAATTTAAAGCTTGTATGGCAATCACACTGCATTACCTCCTCATCACTTTATCCATCTCTTTTTTTAATAATATTATCATCAATTTTTCTTGTATAATAATATATGTCTGTCTAATATTAGTAAATATAATTACTGGATACTCATTTCTCTTCAAAAACTTATCTTGCCAAAATTTTGTGAATTTTATAAATCAATAAAAACCATATATGAATCTTATGAATCTTGCCTTGATATATAAAATTTCATTGATATCTTTACTAAGTAAATAATTTTATGATATGATTTTTGGACAGAAAACCAAACTGATTTTTAAGAATATCATCTCTTTAATCATATTTGGTGATTTTCCTGTGGAAATTAGTTATAGTAGAAAAGTCATAAAAAAAAAAAGCAGAGATGTGCAAAATAGTTGATAGTATTTTGCACCATCAGTTATTTCTTGATGTCATTTTAGGCAATGATTTAGTAAGAAAATGCTGTCATGTAAACTATTTATCAAGCGGGGGAATGAAAACCCGGCATGGGGAGTGGATCCACTCACGGCCTCTCTTGCTCGGGCTGCGGGATCATCTCACCATGTTTACACGTTCAAATTTTACAAACAAAAAGCATCCATAGCAATGTGAGTTATCCAATCCTGCAAGGTCAGTTTTTCCCTTCTCAGCCCATTTAAGAAGGAAGCCAACAAATCCAGTTTCCTTACTAGATTATTATAAATTTATGATGTATTTTCATCACTATCTTCAGTTCATGCTATAGGTAGTCTTTAGAGTTCAATTATGTGCTTATTTGGTGTCTAAGAGCCTTGATATACTTGTCGCATATGTTGAACAGGTTGTGACAAGCTTCCTTGTAGAATATATATATTGAGTTGTTACTTGGATGTTTGGATACTTTCTACTCGCTATGTACTAAAGTTACTTTGGTAGTTTATTTCTCCATATGATTGCTCGGGAATCGTTTATGGAGAAATGATTATTACAAGCAACACTTCAACAATTTGGAGTCAGTGCGAAGAGAATTGTCTCGACTTCCATGGCTGAGACTAGAAATGAAGTTGCTTTCATCAAGCTTGAAGGCAGATCTATGGCAATATTGAGGGGACTCAGTATGGCACTACTTGATGTGAATACTTTTTAGGCATCATGAGGTAAGCCTCTTAAAAGTTCTCAAGTAACCAATGACAAGATCAAGCAACAAAATAACCGCTGCCTCAACAAAGTTATGAAGATGCATTTACATATCTCTTGAATGAAATTGCCATTTATTGTACATATATTGGGAATCTTCTTTCTTTTGAGGAACCAGAAAGTGAGGAATTTTTGTTTCCTTGTTTTGTTTGCAACACTTGTTAATCCAGTAAGACACTATTATGCTTTTCAGAATTATACTTCTTGACATGCGCATCATGTAAGTTATTTGTTGAAGACATGAAGTATTTTATAGGGAATATTCTCTTAACAATAATCTCCAACCCACGGTGTCTCTATGCTTTTTATGTAGTAAATTTAGTTGCTTCTATATTTTTCATTAATCTTCTTTTTTCTTGTTTTAAAAAAATGGATGTCAGTATTCATGTTCGAATTTGACTTTTTCTCTCTAGTGTCGCATTGCCCTTGTGTAAATCCCTGATGGAGTTTTGGATTTTTGTCAAGGCTGGAAACAAGGGCCTAATCTCATCAGATGTCTCTGACTCAGAAAATGAAAAAAATAGTGTCCTATTAGATTTTTTAGACTTTTGTCAGATTCTTTTGTATTATTTTGATAAATCTGGGCAACCCATGATGTATTCGTTCTGGATGTGGAACTGATTTGATATTTTCTGAAGTTAGAAGTTGCCCTTTTGGTTCATTAGATTCATTATTTTTGCTTGGTTGTGGTTTTTAATCCTCCGTCAAGGGTCCAAACATATTGAACTTAGCACAAAGCTCAGCCACTCCAAAATATCTAAAAGTTGTTCAGTATTTCTTTATCTGCATGATACCAGCTCTGGTGAATGCATCGTCTGTTACTTCATCCTGCAGAAGATGAAACACAATTTCCGCAAAACTCGGACTCATAACATGTTTAAGATTCATAAATTCCTGCAAATTTCCTTTTATCTACACTTCAATATTCACATAGTATTTTGATAAACACAATTTGTAATTTCCTCTTTCTCACCTATGCAGGAAAGACTTTGAGAGGAATGTGATGATCAACATGATTCCAATCACAGTTTGAAACATTCGAGGGGAAGTTTTCCTGATGAATTTTGTGGAGCTACTGATTCAGTGTTCCTTGATCTCCCCCAGCCTTGGTTATCATTGCCATATGAAGAAATGAGAGAATGAAGAAAAGCACACTTCAATTAGTATCATATGAAGTCTATTTATACATGGTGAAAGATAAGATTTCTTTAACTAAGCAGAGAGATTGCCTCATACAGATAAGGAAATCTCATCTGCTATGCAGTTGAGGAAATCTCTCTGTTATCAGAGGAAATCTTTCTGTTATCATGCCCCCGCAAGATCGAGCTCCTGTCAAGGATACCGATCTTGGACCGATGCAACAAAAATAGTTTGCGGGCTAGAGGCTTCGTGAGTGAGTCTGCTAGTTGATCAGCCGTATGGACATGAGAGACACGAAATTGATGTCTGACAACTTGATCTCGCACGAAGTGAAAGTCGATGACAATGTGTTTCATGCGTGAGTGGAACACTGGATTGACACATAAGTAGGTAGCTCCAACATTGTCACAATATATTGTAGGAGTATGGGTAAAGCTAACTTTGAGTTCCTTGAGGAGATTTGTGACCCAATTGAGTTCAGCAGCAGCGGTAGCAATAGCACGATATTCAGCTTCAGTTGTAGACCGGGCCACTGTCTTTTGCTTCTTAGAACTCCAACTGATTGGATTAGACCCAAGAAAAACCACATACCCTGACGTGGAGGTTCTATCATCAAAATTTCCCGCCCAATCAGCATCAGCAAAGGCATGAAGATGAAGTTGAGTGGTTTTGTGGAGAAAGAGACCATGATTAAGGGTCCCTTTAAGATACTGCAAAATTCGTTTAACTACAGACCAATGCATAGCAGAAGGCTGGTGCATGTATTGAGATAATTTATTGACTGCAAATGAGATATCTGGACGGGTGAGAGCCAAGTACTGTAAGGAGCCAAGTACTTGTCGGTATTGAGTTGAGTCCGTGGTAGGGCTGCCATCACATGATTTGAGTGATTCACTAGTAGAGAGAGGAGTAGCAACTTCTTTCGTATCCTGCATATTTGTCTTTGACAATAAGTCTTGAATATACATTCTCTGTGAGAGGAGGAGACCTGAGGATGTAAATGTTGCTTCCATTCCCAGAAAGTAGCTCAAGAGTCCTAAATCTTTTAGGGAGAATCGATCAGCCAATTGCTTTAAAAATGTCTGAATCTCCAAGGGATCATTGCCTGTAACAATAATATCATCTACATATACTAGAAGATATATTGTATTTCCATGTTGTTGTCGTAGGAATAAAGAGGTATCAGACTTGGAGTTGATAAAGCCAATTGATATCAGAAACGATCCAAGTTCAGTATACCAAGCTCGTGGAGCTTGACGGAGTC